TCTCCCCCCTCCTCCTGCCCCCCACTTGGCAGGGTTGGAGGCAGAGGCTCTGCCTGGCCCCAGGTGGGGCCCTCCGTGGGGGCCTCCGACCACGCCTCGCCGCCTTCTGTCCAGGTTTGCTCATCCTCACTGATAATATACACAGTGGACTCTGGGGTGGGGCTGGTGGGCACCGAGCCATTGCTGCTGGCCAGGTCGTAATAATCCAGGTAGTCGTCCTCTGGCTGGACGAAGACATCTCCACGTGTCACTGCAAGGGGGGCGTCCAGAAGCAGGAGGTTGGCAGCCGGAGAGGCCCTGGTGACCTCTGGCCTCAGAACCCCCCCGGGCAGTTTAATTTGAGCCCGACTGCCAGGACTGGCTCCTCAGGCCCGTTTGAAGCTGCGTGGCCCTCTGAACCAGGGCGGGCCAGAGTGCCAGTCTCACGTCCAGAGGGGGAATCCGACAACAACAAGTGCTGCCTGGAACTGGCTTTGAACAGTTTTTTAATTCGTATTGTTTTCACTCTGCTGCCGCCTGGGGCATAGAGCGCTTCCATTTTGCCCCAGCATCTCTCCCGAGCCCATTCAACCGTTGGGCACTGCCTCCTCCCCGCGTGCTCCAGCATTAATCGGGACCTGCCACGCTGGGGACAGAGCACATGGCGCAGCGGGTGCCCTTCCTGGGGGAGAAGCCAGCGATGTTCCAGGCCGCTGCTGCCGGCTGAGGAGAGAAGGGAGGTCTGACCCAAGAGATCCAAATCAGGGCTAGGTAAGGAATGGGCAGAGCAGGAATGGCAGCCAATGGCAGCCCAGCTGGCCGGGGAGGGGGCCGCTCTGCTGCCCTCCAAATCCGCCCATGGCGAAAGAGCAGAGACAAGCCAATGGGGGCATCACTGGGGTCTGGTCACCGCTGGTCCAAACTGAAAGGCCGAGTCTGGGAGCAGCATGGCAGACCTGGGACCGTGCCCAGATGGTGGCGCCGAGAAAGAGGCACTTCCCCTCCTTTCCCCAGCAACTGCTGCATTTTGCCACCCTCCTAGTGGTGGCAGAGCCATTCGGCACGGAAGGGGTGTTCTTCCGGGAAGAAATGGGGGCCAGTTCCTAAGCCTGGGCCAAGAGCAAGGAAGGGGACACTGGCGCTGCTCAGTTGGCAAGCAAGGAAAGGCATGAACCCCCCCCCCCCCCCAGCTCTGCAGTGTGGAATCGAGTCCTTCCCCTGCCAGGGAGCCCAGTCTAGCTGCAAATCCTGGTTCCGCAGGGGCGTATCCTGACCCCTACCTTTGGATTTACAGGTGCTGGCATAGTCACTGCAGCAGCTCTGGTAGTATATGCACAGGTCGTCACACTGGCACTTCTTCTCACTGTCAAAGCCCTTGTCACAGCGGCCCTCGCAGGACTCTGGAAGGAGACCGGAGAAAGGGGGCAGTCAGCAGCGGAGTTGGTCAGCCAGGCGCTCAGTCAGCTGAGCTGTTTGGCTAGGAATGCCTTGGGCATTTTGTGGGGAGGTCTCCAAAGCCTTGGAGCCTCTGAACCCGCCTCCTGCTTCTGGGGATGGTCAAACCCGCCAGGAAGCCCACCAGCCCAAGACCCTCCTTGGCAGCGTGTCCAGGCTCCGCTGAAGCTCTCTTGACGCTGATCTGAGTCCTGGGGACGAAGGGCTCTTAGCCCTGCTGGCGGTGGGACTGCCCCTGAGGGCCCTCTGCTGGAGGCTCCTGGTGGGCTTCCTGGCACAGTTGGCAGGCCACCGAGAGAACAGTCTGCTGGGCAAGATGGGACAGCGGTCCCGCCCAGCAGGACGCTACTTCTGCTCCAATCCAGCTGCATTAGGAGAGATCCTCCTGGACTCCCACAAGTCTGACGTGAAGGCAAATTTCCCCACGGGCCCTGATGCTCTGCTTTGGTTCAAACCAGGCTGCCTCTGAGCACCAAGGTGCTGTTTGGCCGCTGCAGGGCAGATGGTGGACTCCAAGGAGTCACCAAATCCTGAAAAAGCCAAGCTCCCCGAGCTAAGGGCCACCCCACCCCTAGTAAAACATCCATTTAAAAACAATGGGGGAAAGGTTGTGCTGATCAAAGGCGCTGGGACGGCGTTGCTCTCCGGGTGGGACGTGCAGAGGCACCCAGCTGCTCCTTCTTGTCCTCCTGAACTCCACGGAGGCTCCTGGGTGCCCAGACAGGGCAGGGGTGGACGGAGAACGGGGTGTCTGGGTACTCACCTTCAGCAGCAAAAGACCCGCAGAGGCAGCCCAACAGCAGCGCCAGACGCAGCAGCCTCATGGCGTCCGGATGCCAGGCCCTCTGCTTCTGACTGGGCTGCAGAGCCTCCCCCGGCACCAAAGGCTTGTTTGCTCAGCCCGCCCCTCCTCTTCCAGAGGGAGCAAACACGGCCGGGGAGGTCACTGCCCCAGAGTCTCTTGCTCGCAGCCCTGCCCTGCCCTCCTCCTGGCATCTCTTGCAGTTGGGGGCCAGTCTGTCTCCAGCCCAAACCCAGCACAGCAGTAGCCCTGGCTGTGGGTTGGTTGCTATGGGGAAGCTGGGGTCTCTGCAGGCCATTCGCCGTGCCCTCCCCGAACCTCTCTGGCCCTCACAAGAGAAGGCACAGGCAGCAGTTCCAGGGAAGACTTTGAAAGGATCATGAGTTAGAGTTGGCCGGGGGTGTTGGGGGCTGCGGTCCTAGTCTTCTGCTGGCATCAGGGGTTGGGGGTACAGAGATCAATTGCACACCCACACCCAGGAGCCCAGGAAACGTAGGGCTCCTTTCTTGGCACCGAGCATGCAGCGAGGATCGTTGGGCAGATCTCTTGACAGCGAGAGGCTCAGTGTGTCCCCAGCTTTTGTCTCAGGGGATGTGGCGGAAACGAGCTCCTCCCTGCCCAGCTGCGCTGCAGGAAGCCCAAGGCAAGGCACCGCAGGTGGCTGGCGCAGGACCCCGAGAGGGGCCCAGCAGGATCCATGTCTGTGGCGCCGTCCTGACCTGAGGCTTCCCTTGCCAAGACAGACAGGCTCCCCGCTGGGACCCTTCCTTCAGGGAAGGGCCTCGGCAGGGCTTCTCCAGGCCGGGAAAAGTCGCTTGGACGTTTGGGCCTTCGGAGGGAGTTGCAGGAGGTGGGCAGTCCTGGAGAGAAGACGGAGCAGGCGGGGGGGGCTCTCGGAAGACCCCAAAGGAGCCAGGCCTGGCGGCGGAATAATGGTCTGAGGTCACAGAAAAGTAGATTCTGACGCACGGATTGGGGGAGAAGCCTCACAAGAGCAATTGGACGGTGGAACCGCCGACCCAGAGAGGTGGAGGACTCCCTGGGCTGGAGGGGCCCAAGCAGAGGCTGGGCAGTGCCAGTCTGGGCAGCTCTACAGCAGAGGGTTGCTCCAGGTGGCCCCCAAGATCCTTTCTATCGCTATTACTGATTTTTCTATAGGCCGAAAATTAATTCAACAAAAGGTCTTACTTTGTGTAGTTGGACACCCAGGTGTATTTTCAGGAAGAGAGCTGGGGGATTCAGCTCATGGTCGGTTAGCAACATGAATTCATCGGATGCGATGTTGCACTTGCGGTTAGAAAGTATGCAGATTTTGTCTCAGACAGCTCAACGGGTTTGTGCAGGTGTTCATTTATATATGTCCCAAGGGAAATGGAGATCATTTACCCTGACCATTGCCAAAACATCGGCATCCCTGCTGGATGTCAGTTTTATCCTGGCCTGCAGAAGCACCCTCTCTTCCGGAGGAAGCCTTCTGTCTGCAGCTGCGGGACCATTGAGAAATGTGATCCACTCGTGCCAGTCTATGTCTTTAATCGTCCACTTGCTTTTCTTTTTTAAAGGTTACATTGCTTTAAATGCCAACGCATTGACTATATTGTACGATATGAGCATATGGGTAAGACTTGAGTAGTCCTCGGGGTTGAATAGCCATGCCACTTCTTCCTTTTTCTTCTTATTTTTCATGATGTTAGCCTTTGCATACATTAAAAAAGGGATGAATGGCACGGAGGGGCCCTCCGCGCACTTAAGAGGCATGCTGGCACAGTGAAGCCTGGCGCGCTCTGCCTGAAATAGTGTCCTCCGGAGGCAGAGGTGGGACCCATCACAGCTGGCCTCCGAGCAGCAGCTCCCACCCTAAAGAGATGGGCACGGATGGGGGTGTCTTCCCTGCTGGGAGCCTCAGCACTACAGTGAAAGAGTGTGCAGCGTGATTCACTTTCTGTACAGACTGCCCCCCTCTCCCCCCCTCGGCAAACAGCATGCAATGGAATTTGCCCTGGATCCTCTCCTGGATCAGACCTGCTCAGTTATTGATTAATATGAACCGGTTGCCCGTCCAGCTCCTGCCTTGAACGTGTCCCCCTCTCCCCCGTGACTCCCGTCCCCGCAGACTCTTACTCATCTCTGGGGAAGCTGAGTGAATCAGCCCGGTCTCGTGGAAGTGAAGGCCAGACTGCCCACCACGGTGGTCTGTTTTGAAAACGGGGCAAGGCTCTCTCCAACCAAATGGGTCAAATTTTAAACAATGCCTCTTCCAAAACAGACTCCAGAGAATTTTCTTTTAAAGAGGAAGCTTAGTCCTTTGAAGTGCCCTGCAAACCAGGGTGATCCTTTAAAGTGTGATTAACTCACAAGGGCTGATTTAAAGCGATAAGGTGGTGGTGGTTGCCATCATTGTTGAAGCTAGAGTGGAGGTCTACTTCATACGTTCATTTTTATGCCTTAATCGAACCTCCGTGAGATTAAATATGGCATTCCTGTATCTCAAAAGCACAGTTTAAGAGCAATATCAGAGTTGGTGTGCAGAAAAGTCTTGCCACTGACTTTAAAAGGAAGGAACACGGGGACGTCCTCAGAGCTAAACTGTTTGGGAGGTCCCAGTGAATCTCCCCTTTTGAAACCGGCCTTTCCTGTCAATACCTTCTCCTTCGGGATCGTGATTGTGGCTCAGATTCTGTCACACTCGCTGTACAGCATTCGACAGTCTCCTGATCAACTTTCCTGCATTTGCTGTGCATTGAGCTCCCTTTTGCGAGAGCAGAGAATAAGCCCACTCCACCTGTTGCAGGGCGGCCCTGCAGAGAGTTGAGCCTTTTCTCCCAGAACCAACAAACCAGTGGCTTGGTCCAAAAAAGAGGCAACTGGTCTGGCAGGACTAATTCTTGGTAAGCTCCTTGTAATCAGTGGATTTTTTGTAGAGGCTGATTTTGAATTTTGCCCAGTACCTAGAGCAGTGTTTCTTAACTTTGGTAATTTTAAGATGTGTGGACTTCAACTCCCAGAATTCCCCAGCCAGCCTTGCTGGCTAGGGA